ATGCAAAGTTACATTTTCAGCATCATTACTCCAGTCTTCAGTGTCACATGATCCTTCAGAAATCATTCTAATATGCTGATTTGCTGCTCAAGAAATATTTATTGTTATCGTCAATATTGGAATATGTACTCTTTGATGAATATAAAGTTTAAAAGAACAGTATTTATTTGAAAAAATAAATACAATTTTGAACAGTAGTGTATGACCTGGACATGTTCTTGACAGGTTTAATATGATCACCTTAAAAGCGATACATGAACAGACAAGCCACAGTATCTCTATTTGTTAATTTTCATTAGCAGTTAAATTACTTTCTGATTACAAGAAATGTCTCTCAACTGCAGTGGTTTTCAGAAGTCCATATGTGTTGATCAATGAGGAGCCTGAAGAGCTTGTGATGTTTTACAGGTAACCTAACTTCTCGCTTTTATCTTCCCAACATGTTGCTGAAAGCAAGAGAGGTTAATATTCATGTTCTAGCATCACATACGAGACTGTGATCGACAGATGGCAATTTAGAATGATATTTCATGAACAAAGTACTTATTGTACAAACACAAACAAATGGTTATTAATACAAATAAACGGAACAACGAATGCATAGTAAATTAAAAGTCAATGTGACTTATTTTACTCGTATACAGTGTTGGGCAGTAACTAGTTACTGTAATAATATTACTTTTTGCAGTAACTAGTAGTGTAACTAATTACTAATAAGATTTCAGTAATAATATTACAGTTACCATCCATAAAAGAGCTAGTTAGTTACTTTTGATGCCTCAACCCCTAGTGATTTGAAATCCAACAATCCAATAATTCCTAGATGTATTTTTAATTTTCACGACTCGCACAGGCACAAGAAGTCACCAGTGCATCAGGAAAGCTTGGAATATGGAAAAGCTTACATTCAGGGGATGGAAATATTGCCATTACACTGATTTTGTCAGGAGAAAAGCTGATCTGAACATAGATGTGTAAGTTGTGGCATTAATTTACTCTGGTATTACATGGCTTGCTCACCCACATCCCTCGATCTGATCCCGATATAAATTATATTACTATAATTAAAAATCTTATGAACTTGTGTGATTTCTTTTGATAAAATACTTATTGGAAATATAATCATATTTGGGTAACAGAGAAATTATAGCTACAATTAGCTTCAAGCTACACGTGACAATTAATACAACTTTTACTTAAAAGTCACTATCAATCACCATTGAGTGTTAGTAAAACTTCTGACTGCGATCCAATGTAGAATTTGGTCAAATGATGAGGCAGAAATATATTGTTAGTAACATTTTAGAAGAATGTTATGGGGAAGATACACAATTACAACTTCTGTGGGGTGTGAAGGAAAAGTAGTGTAACTAGTAGTGTAACTAATTACTGTGTCCAGATAGCAATCGTAAAGTAATAATATTACTTTTGAGAGGAGTAACTAGTAACGAGTAATAAATTACATTTTTGGAGTAACGAGCCCAACACTGCTCGTATATTTGCACTTGTGTTTAAAATATAAAAGCCTCTGCGACGTGTAACAACCTTCACCTGCCACACTCAAAAGAGATCATAAAATAGACATGAAAGTAAAGCAGGCATACTCAAACGAAAATAGTTCAAAACAAAGTCAGCAGAACCACTGCAACATACAAAACACACTTTCATTCATTGTTTCGTTTTAGAACAAATCGATTGAATAATACGATTCAGTGACTCAGGACAGTCATTTTCATTCCTGGAGGAATCATCTTTTTGGAACGAATCAGTTGAATGAATGATTCAAGACTCACTTATTATAGAATAGTTGCTTGTTTGGTTCTTGAATGAACCAGTAGTGTTTTCGAACGAATCTGCTGAATGAATGATTCACGACCACTTATTAGGCTAGTTGCTTATTTCTTGCCTAAATGAATCATTATGAAGGAGTCATTCACTCAACTGATTCATTAAGACCTGACGCCACATATTGGTGTAGCCTATGTAACCTGCAGAAAGAGTCACTGAACAATCTGGAGCTGCATATGTGCTCACTGGAAGGACTTCTGACCATCTGTACAGTTCACATTATCAGTATCATGAATTATTTATTTGATTAGTGACCTAAAGTGCAAATCATTGCTTTTTCAGTTCAAAATCAACATTTTCAGGTTTGAGTCCCAGATTTTACTATGTGGTCTTAGACTTATGGACCCCACTGTAATTCCCTATAAATAAGGACTCTTAATATGTAAAATAGTTTATACTGTTTTATACTCAAATTTATTTTTGAATGCAACATATATTTGTGTATATGTTTTATGATTATTTTTAGAGTGCATTAAACACTATTGGGGACCTACACAGAACTCCAAGCCTGTTTGGAGAATGATTTTATATATATTTCCATCACTGAAAGTGAAAGTGGATGTGGGCAGACAAAGAAATAAGGCGTGTTATGAAAGCGAAGACAAAACCAACCAATAAAGTCAAAGAGTGTGAGAGAGGGATCAGAAGATTGCACGGAAGAGGGAGAATAAAAATCAAACCGGTCACAATCAAAGCTAAGGTAAGCTTGAACATGTATTATAATTTCTTAGAACCAACCTTCTTATAATTTTGAATGTACAGTAATTGTATTAGAGGGCAAAATATCAAAAGCACATATAAAAATATAAAAGCAAGCAGGTAATAGGTAAAAGGAGTAATAGGATAGCACAAGCCTACTTTTAAAACATTTTATCTGATCCATTGGCATTCATACATATGGCTTAAGAGACCAAATATTTTTGGGACCACTGTATATGTTTAAACTTACCAAAACAGTTTTATTTACTTTTTTAATATTGCATTTAACTCAGTTTATTATCTGAACGTCCCCTCTGGTCAATGGTGGCATGACAAACTTTCTGTAAAGGGGCGACAGATAAAAGAAAAATATTTAAAATATATATATTTTTAATCTTTAGGCTGTCTTGTATGTGTCAGGGTTAGATTTCTGTGGGTATTACAGTTGCGTATCGAAATAAAGCAGCAGGTGCTGAGAATCTGTCGCACAGCTGCAGCAGTTTTTCCCCTCACTTGTGGTTTTGCATTGTCTGTACAGTGTCTGTATAGTTCTCTATCTCTCAAATCTGGGTTAAATGCAAACGAGCTCCTCTAAATTAAGTCTGTATATCCAAATGAAGCTTTAGAGACGACAGTGACAAAGCTGAGTGAGTGGCATTCATTATTGTAAAACTTGTAGTTCCCGTAAACCTAGGTAATGTATATGATGCAATCTGCACAGCTGTAATACAACACCGTGTTGAGAAAATATAAAAATAGTCCAAAACAAGAACCAATTCAGAAATAAAATTAAAAGTAGAATTTCTCTGGAATTTAGAAGTGTAAAAGTACAATAGAAATAGATTTAGATGTAGATAGGTGTTTAACTATGGACAGTCATATTGAAGAAAATCAATTCTCTTAAAACACTTTTCACACTCTAACTAGAGTTTAATGTTTCTATAATGCATCACAGGGAAATTCTGTTATGCATGTCATTTTTATAAAACCATGAACATTTCCTCCACATCTCAAATTCTGTATTGTATTTAAAGCAAATAACATTTTAGAAATAACATTTTGAACATTTTTGGAATAAAACGGCCAACTGTCTTGCTAAGGCTAATTTCATTTTAGATGTCCTGAATAAATAATAATCATGTTAAAATATTAACCATAAATGAAAATATTAAAATTCTTATTTGTCTCATATTTCATCTCAAGCTCTCGAGCTAAATTATTCAGGAAAATAAGATTTTCTTATCAAAGTGATAAAATGTTGTGTTGCAAAAAAGAGGACAGTGGTACAAGAGGAATACCAATTCATAGTTTTAAGTGTGAAAATGTAGCAAAAGTAGCAGAAATTCAAAAACAGTGGACTTGTGACAAGGCCCTTGAAATAATCAGGCCTTCACTTTAAGCTTTTGTTTAGTGACGAGTGATTTTTTTGCTAGAAAAAGAGCAAGAGAAATACCAAGCATGTGTCTCAGAGCTGGCAAAAGCTACAAAAAGAGTGACTGTTTATCTCAAGATGCAGCCTGTAGAAGTGACATGAATGGTTGTTGCCCACAATGGAACTACCTACTGTAGCCAAAGCACAATAAATAATATGTATTTTACGATATGTATTTTTCCAAGGTGAAAATCCTTCAGTGGACATGTATTTCACCCAATCCTAACACTCTTGAGCACCTGTGGGGGATTCTGTAGAGACGAGTTGACCAGGGCATTTAAGGAGGTCGTCCTCCAGGAGTTAAACAGGACAGATGTGACAATTTGTCATGAACTTGTACACTCAGTGCCAAGAAGGGTCAGAGCAGTACTTAAAATTATGGAGGACATACTAAATACTAGAATACTATACATTTGTTGAATTAAATCTAAGGTGTACTCATTTCTGCAGTCCTTCATTAAAAAATTGGCTAATTTATTATTTTGCAGATTTGATTGACATACATTTCTCTGTTTTTATTAAGTATATGTTTAATAGATTTCAATTTTGCCATCTTTCCATGAATTGTATTAGTGGTCGTTAAGAAAATACATCTTTTGTATTTATTGAGAGGTGGTGTACTCATTTATGCTGTGCACTATTCTGTATATATATATATATATAAAAATAATGAAGGCATGACACCAGTACACTACACTCTTAAAAATAAAGGTGCTTCAAAAGGTTCTTCAAGCGATGCCATAGAAGAACCATTTTTGGTTCCACAAAGAACCATTCAGTCAAAGGTTCTTTAAAGAACCATCTCTTTCTTACCTTTTTGTAATCTGAAGAACCTTCTTTCGCCACAAAGAACCTTTTGTCAAACAGAAAGGTTCTTCCGATGTTAAAGGTTCTTTATGGAACCATTTAGACAAAAAGGTTCTTCTATGGCATCGTGAAGCACCTTTATTTTTAAGAGTGTAGTTGAATCTGTTGAATCAATAAGTGGCTGATGTCTACACTGTGAATGTGATGTGTTCAGATGTCAGGTGTGATGGGAGAGGACAGTCTGGTCCCCAGAGCACGCAGCAGGCTGCCGGTGGTGTGTACGGGTGGACTGGGGCTTCTTACTCTGCTGTTTGCTTGGCTGCTGGACTCTGACAAGTTCATTGAGAGAACTGGAATGATCGCTTTTTGCATCACAGTAGAAAGGTTTATTCACAGTATGTGCTTGTTTGCAGAGGAGTGGCTCTTCCATTCAAAGCAAAGGTTAGAAAAGAAATTATATACTTCGTATGTCCTTGCATTATGCAATTTAGTTGCAGAATGTAATAATTTTATTTATTTTTTTTACTTTTTTTAGTGTGAAGAATATTTAGAAAATCTAAAGAACCTTTTTCCACTATTTTGTGGAATGGAAAACTATGGATATTAAAGGTTCTTCATGAAACCATAGATGCCAATAAAGAGTGTTGGATGAAAGTATTAAAAAATGTATTATTTCATTTTATTATATGCTCTTTTCCAGGTATCATGGCAGAATAAATGAGATCGTTCAGGCTTGCTTTAGAGGGCATGTCATTTTAGGAATGTGTGCAATATTCCTGATGCTAAAGTTGCAGTGGAGTTTCTCTGAAGAGCAGTGGAGTGCCATGGCCCTCATGTGCGCAGTTTACCTGCTACTCAAATGCTTGGGGGTTCTGGTAAGATTAATCACATGGCAGGAGAACACAATGTCTAAATCAAAAGATTATGTGAACAATATTCAGTACTTACTTGTTCAACTGGTTCAGTTACATGCTAAAGGAACAGTCTGCAATGTTGCACAACAACTTAAATTTGCAATGATTTCCAAGTGGTCTACACGGCTGAGTCTATACTGAGTGTGCAATTAGAGGATCTTCAAAAATATCAGATAGTCACACTCAAATAGTTTGGAAGGTAAAAGACATGCTACATAGGAAACATAAAACACAACCAGCACTCATTTAACACAGGGTGGTCACTTACAAAAAATCATAGTTCAAATTCAAAGTTCACTGTATGCATTATATCACGATCAACTTAAATGTGCTGTATAATTTCAGCTATTTCACTTCCGCTTTCACAGAGACTGGTGTGATTCATCAGGACACCTGTTTTTTTATATTGATTCTGATATTAAATAGCTCAGGGATGTTCAGAATACCCCTGTGGATTTCTGATTGCAGTCTTTCTCTTCAGCTCAGGGTTCCAACTAAAACCACATCTCATTTTTTAGATTTATAAATTGGTCTTAATATTCAATATTACACAATATCATCCTCCACAGCTTGGTTCATTACTTGTTCTTATCTTCAGAATGACTGTGGAAGCTAAAATTTGCATTCCAGTCACACATTTATCTCCACAAACATCTCACTCAATTTCAGTTATAATTTCTTACAAACAACTATGTGTTTGTACTGCAACATAGCTGTGGACGATCAAAAATAAAAGTAAAACAACTGACAAAACAATACAAATAAATGAAACAAGTAAAATAAAAAGTATTTGTATATTTGTATATGTTTGCAGGGCCCTTGTCCAGTTGAGATCTCAGAAATCTGTGAAATGAAGAAGATGAATGTGGCACATGGTTTGGCCTGGTCTTTCTATATCGGCTACCTCAAATTTGTCCTTCCAGGTACATTCGTTAGCCCTCTACATTGTGATACTCGTCGAGGCCTCTAGGGGGCAGTAATGACACACGGTTTACTCAAAGGCTGCTAACTAAATAGTTGGATTTATTATTCATGTCATAACTGTAACTTACATTCATTAAAAAGCCAGCAAATAATTAAAAGTAAAGATAAAATTATTCTTGTGAGATCCCACAGAATAATACGAAGCTGTCATGTAGTAGTTAGCTGGATAGACCAGCTAGGATCATCGGCAGTCGTGGCCTAATGGTTAGAGAGTTGGATTTGTAACCCGAAGGTTGCAGGTTTGAGTCTCAGGTCCGGCAGGGATTGTAGGTGGAAGGAACGAATAACCAATCAGTGCTCTCTTCCACCCTCAATACCACGACTAAGGTGAGACTCTTGAGTAAGGCACAGAACCCCCAACTGCTCCCCGGGCACCACAGCAATATGGCTACCTACTGCTCTGGGTGTGTGTTCACGGTATGTGTGTGTTCACTACTGTGTGTGTGCACTTGGGTGGGTTAAATGCAGAGCCACACGTCATTCGTCATTTGTTGTGGCAGTCGTGCCCTAATGGATAGAGAGTTGGACTTCAGGTTTGAGTCTCAGGTCCGGCAGGGTGTAGGTGGAGGGAGTGAATGTACAGCACACTCTTCCACCCTCAATACCATGACTGAGGTGAAACCCTTGAGCAAGGCACCGAACCCCCAACTGCTCCCCGGGTGCCGCAGCCATATTGCTTTCAAACTTTCACTTTCAAAAATTACCCCACCAAGTTCGGTCAGAAATCTTGGTGTAATCATTCATGATCAGCTGACTTTCAAAGACCACATTGCAAAAACCGCTCGATCTTGCAGGTTTGCATTGCACAACATCAGAAAGATCAGTTCTTAACGGAGCATGCTGCACAACTTTTTGTCCAGGGCAGGCCCTTGTCATTTCTAGGCTGGACTACTGCAATGCTCTTCTGGCTGGACTTCCATCATGCACAATCAATTCAGAATGCAGCAGCACGACTGATCTTCAATGAGCCCAAAAGGGCCCACATAACACCTCTCTTTATCTCCCTGCACTGGCTACCGGTTGTGGCTCGCATTAAGTTCAAGACATTGATGCTTGCATATAAAACAGCCAAAGGCTCAGCACCCTCCTACTTCTTTTCTTTCTCTTTGCTTTCTCTTTCCTTAATCCCCCCCGTCTAGTACTTGTACTAATCTGAACAATGTCTAAAACTCTGTATTATGAGCACTTCCTGTGAATTGCTTGTTGTATTTCTCAGTTGTAAGTCGTTTTGGATAAAACCGTCTGCTAAATGAATAAATGTAAATGCATAGACTTTACTCATGGTAGCGCCATATTTAATTTTTGACAGGAATGGAAACAAGGCTGTGAGGGATAGACGTACAGTAAGTTCAATGTATTGTACTGTTGTTTAACAACATTGTTAAATGATTGTTCTAAAAACTTTCAGTAGACAAAAACTCCATAAAACAGTTTTGAAAATTGTAAGTTGTGAAAATTACGTGATCTAGGACCTTTGCACAGTGTGTACCATTAAAAAGACTGTAAGCCTATCCCTCACAGCCTCATTTTCAGTCACGTTAAATTCAATATGGCGTCAAAACTGACTAAGGTCTATTTCTGTAGCTCAAACAATAGAGCATGGTGCTAGCTATGCCAAGGTCATGGGTTAATTTCCCAGAGAATGAACTAATGAAATGTATACCTTGAATGCAATATAAGTCAATATAAGTCTTTGGATAAAAGCTATCCAAAACTAAGGAATAGTTTAGCCTAACAGCCATTGTGTTGTTCTAAATCTGTATGATTTCTTTTTTGTGTAAAATCAAGGGAGATTTTTGCAGAAAGTGCATAAATGAGAACGCTAAGGTTACTAACGTAACCTCGGTTCCCTGAGATAAGGAAACGAGCGTTGCATTGACATGCTTATGGGGAAACTGCTCACCATCTGGATTGGGGAGTGCTAGAAGGATGATGACGTGTGCTCTAAACAGAGTGGAGAGCACTTTCGGCACATAGCCGTGTCTCGGTTTGAGGACGACTCTACAGTCATTAGGCCCCAACTAAAGATAGTAAGCGCTGACTGACAGTTCTTGCAGGTCACCCACTCACTTGACTGACGCTAAAGCCAAAAGGAGGGTGGTCTTAAGCGACAGAGGCCACAAGTCGGCCGACTGGAGCGGCTCAAAGGGAGGGCCCCATAGGCCCTGAGGACTGTAGTATGTGCCAAGTCGGCACAGTATGAGGGCGAGGTGGATTCAATCTCAGAGCTCCCCTCAAAAACTTAACGACTAAGTTGTTTCTGCCAACTGACTGGACAGCCACGAGAGAATGATTCACTGCGATGGCTGCCACATACACTTTAACTGTGGAAGGGGTGCGCCCCTTATCCAGCAGCTCTTGTAGAAAGGTTAGCATGTGGGACACTTCACAAGAAGATGGGTCCTCATTGACTGACCATTTAAGGGCATAAAGAGATCTTGTAGACAGAGTTCTAGCCTACAAAATTGTATTAGTTACACTCGCGGGGAGCTGCAAACATGAAGGTTCCACAGCTCTGGCCGGGGATGCCAAATCATGCCCTTTGTTTGCGAGAGAAGGTCCTCCTTCAGTGGTATTGGCCAAGGGGCTGCTGATATCAACTTGGGGAACCACATCTGATTCCTCCAGAGTGGGGCCACCAGAAGGACTGAGCATCTGACTTCCTGGACCCGTCTGATGACGTGAGGAATCAGGGAAACCGGGGGTAAGGTGTACAGGCAAGCGCTGGCCAATCGTGGGTCAGGGCATCTCGCTGTCTCAAAAAGTAGATTGGGCAGTGAAAGTTGTCTTCTGGGGCAAAGAGGTCCACCTCTGCCCTCCCGAAGACAGACCAAATCATTTGAACCATTTAGGGATGTAGTCTCCATTCTCCTGGAGTCTCCATACATTGTCCCTGGACAGCATGTATGCCCTCTTGTTCAGTCTGCCCGGCACATGAACTGCTCTTAGTGAGAACAGTTTGCCCTGTGCCCATAAAAGGAGGCGTTGAACCAACCTGTGAAGGAAGCGTGACCTGAGACCGCCTTGGTGATTGATAAAGGCTACCACTGTCATGTTGTCCGAATGGACCAGGGTGTGGTGCCCCCTTAAGGCCGGCAGGAAGGTTTTTAGGGCCAGAAAAACCGCCATCATCTCGAGGCAGTTGATGTGTAACTGGACACAGGTCTGTCCTCATGTAGAGATCTTTTTCAAAGTTAACATCTTGAATGGCCGTCTCATAAGCAAGCGGGTCAGATGCCTGAGATCGAGAATGGGTCTGAGCCCACCATCTTTCTTGGGAACGAGGAAGTAAGGGCTGTAAAAACCTGACTCGCTGTTCACTAGAGGAACCATTTCCGTGGCTACTTTTGCAAGCAGTGTTTGTACTTCGGACCGGAGAACTTGAGCATTGTTGTCCCGCACCGAAGTCTGAATAATAACTCCGAAGCGAGTTGGCCTGCGAGCGAACTGAAGTGAGTAACCTTGTTTTATGGTTTTTAGAACCCAGCTTGACACATCTGGGATAACTTTCCAAGCCTGAAGCCGGATGGCAAGTGATTTTAGTTTTTCAAATGGTAATTTGCTGCACGGGGGCGAGAAACTGACATTCGTGGTAATGAGGAGGGGATAAATGCTCTTTTGAGTATGTGGGTCCGCTATCACAGTGGTAGTTTGCTTGGGCACACAATGAATAAGAAGGACGGGCCAAGCTTGAATGGAGCTTCCATCGCTTGGTATTAAGTGGAGGGATGGAGAGTAAGCGCAAACTTTCTTGAAGGGAGTTCCGGCCTCGGCGAGAACTGACCTTCTCTTCTTCCTTCTGAGGCTCAGGGTCCAACGTCACTCTGGGGCAGGGACCTTGGCACTGCTAAAGCCCAGGCTCAGGTTTAGGCTGGGGCTGAAGCGGCCCTGGTTTGGCAGGCTGCTGAGTGGATGAAGCCTTCTGGCGACTTGAAGCAGCCACTGCACTGGAGCGTTTCGGCAGGAAGTGACGCATTGCCTGCAATGACTTCTGTGCCACTGTTAACCGCTTGGCAAACCCATCCACGGCAGTGCCAAACATTCCCTTAGGAGAGACTGGCGAGTCTAGGAAGGTGACCTTGTCAGCATCCATGAGCTCTATCAAATACAGCCAAAGGTGGCACTCCAGCACCACCAAATTGGCCATGGCCTTGCTAATCGCCTGCGCAGTGGCCTTAGTAGCACGCAGAGCCAGGTCAGTCGCTGTGTGCAGCTCTCTAAAGGCATCAGAACTCTGACCGGACTCATCCATGGTGCAAAGAAGTTTGGCCTGGAAAACTTGAAGCACCGCGATCGTGTAAAGCACTGATCCAGCCTGGCTAGCCACTGAATAAGCCCTGTTTGCTAGGGCTTAGGTAGTTCTGCAGGGCTTAGTTGGATGCAATGCATGGGCTTTCAACCCCAGGGCCAATGGAGGGCACAGATGTACAGCGACCGCCTCTTCCAGAGGGTGGAGCTTACTTTAACCTCTTTCTTCAGCACCATCAACAGTGAGAGCGGTGGAAGTAGAGGGATTAACATATGCCCAGGCGCAGATTAACGCACAGGCTTGCCTAGGCTGCAGCCTAGGGGCCCCACGTGTGCAGGGGCCTCGGATTGGCCGGACTATTTTTTAAATTATTTTTAATTTTCTTCAACGCGAACAAAAAAGACCCTCATTGGCCCATAAGAAACATCAAAGAAGGATTTGTTGCAGAGCGTCTGACAAAATTAATGTCTTGTATTGTAGAATGCACGCTCAGCACCGCAGAGAGTCTGCGTGATCGTTAAATCGAAACCGAAAGTAAAGCGCGCACATGCATTCAAAAGCGATTTTAACACCCCGCGTTTTGAGAGCGACTCCCTGATGCGCGCAAATTAGGCTACATAACATATCTAGGCTGTTATTAGTATGTAGGCTATAATAGGTTGTGTAGTTGTCTATAGCTCTGCATCATGCTTGAAAAATTGGTCTCTATTTGCATTTTGAATATAGAGAGAGCACTTATTGTTCGCACTTAATACGACTAAGAAATTTTTTTTATTTTTTGTTATTTATACTGTTTTTATTTCTATGTTCAATTTGTGAAAAGGAGTTCAGTTAGGAGGTCAGAAGTTCTAGAAGCTCATAATTCATGTACAGTTCTAAGGTCTGAAGAGACTTGAAATCATACAGGAGAGAAACCAGTCAGTTGAACAAAACCTTTTACAGTGCTTGAGTGTTGTTGTTTTTACTGCATATGATAATTCATACTCAGAAAGTAGAACTGAAAGGGGAGAGAAGAAATGGGAGAGCAGAGTGGGGTGGACCTCCTTCATTAAGGGGCGAGACTCATGCTCTCGCAGTGAGAGCATTCCATCTCATTGAGTGCAGCTTCTGCTTGGGCGCTGCCCAGACAGGCGACACACTCACTATGCCCACGAGCCACACTCGCGGTGTGACATTTGCAGCAACATCGCCGGAAATTTGCTCCGAAATTTGTTCTTAGATGTGCCAGATGGCTGCAGGGGAAGGCTTCTTGCTCCTTCCGCTGCCGGGGGCTCCTTCTACGGCTGGTGAGTAGCAGGCTGAGCTGAGCTTCTTCCTTCTTCCTTCTTCAGCTTTTTGCTAGCAGAATCAGCAAGGAGATGATCTTTGTCGCTGAAGGAGAAAAATTCTGACGAAATGGCGCTCAGAGCCGACTTACATAGAGGTTGGCTCCTCCCCTTTTGGCATGTTGAAGCGCCATTGGTTCGTGCAGCTACACGAATGTGAACAAATCAGTCTGCATTATCAGAGTAAACAGGAGTTTCCCCATAAGCATGTCAACGCAATGGGAGAGACTGTTTGAAAGCAAACTAAGGAAATGTTTTCATGACAAAAATTAACTAAAAGCTTTCACATACAGACGACAGCATTGTCAAAATGATCCCCTTCCGCACAGACCTGCAAAAAAACTAAAAATGCTGTATTATGGTTGTCAAGTACTTGCGCATGTCTATAGACTGAACACGTAATACGCATGTGCATGACGTTATCGTTTTCACAAATTTGCGTTGTAGTTCAATAACAGTATTTTGAAAAACTTGCACTTTGAAACTTGTTTTCAAAAGTTTGTGTTTTCAGGCCCCCCAAACTGCCATTGTTGTGTAAATAAATGGCTAAAATGCATAAAAAAACTTTTCTGTCTTTATTCGAAAACAGTATCATTTGAACACCCCCTAAAGCAGAAAGATACATAGAAATATTATAATTTTATGGTGGTTTTTGGAGCATGGTAGTCCATGATCATTTTATGCTTTCATATGGACGTGTGCAGTGTGCACAATCATCATAATTTCTCATTGCATGTTTTGCAGAAGAAAGGAAGTCATGTTTCAAATGTGTGATTAAATGATGACCCTGAGCTGTAAAACCACCTGATCATGTGAAAGCTTCTGCTCACTTTCTATTTTTGCTTTTATGTTCTTTCACCTGCAGATTTACAGAACAAGGTCAGCCAGTATTCCTCCACCAGGGGGAAACTGAGCTCTCCACGTTTACATATACTTCTACCCCTCAACGCAAAAGTTCCATCCAAACCTGAAGAGGAGGACACTAATGTAGTCTTCCACGAAAACCTTCCAGAACTGGAGCGTGACACAGCAGGGGTGCGGAAACGCAGCTACAAGAACAGTGTCTACAAGATCACCCAGAACAATGAGGTGGGCTAATGCTGGTACTGCATTGCTGGTAATTGAAATCCTTTGATACTGGAAATGATCAAGAACGTTTTCCAAAAAAAAAAAAAAACATTGCAAAGATATGATAATACAGAGCTAGCATTTAAACTAGCATGAGTCTATCCTTTGATTCAGAGATAGATGTGTTGCCTACTAATTCACATGCTTCTAGTCTGAATTTCTCTGGTGTTGAGAAAGTACATACTTTTAAGTATGTGGAAAGGAATGAAACGCCACATGCTGGTGATTCCTGCTGGTCAGAATGGTGTAAATGCAATGAAAACATGCATAAAATCACCTTTTACAAACCAATTGCAAATGTTTAATTGAAAGTGTTATCTATTAAATCCAAAAACATCTAATACCATTAAAACTGTCTACACAATTAGTGTTATTTTATTAAACTGTAGAGCTTGTTTTGTTTGTTTTATGGAAAGCTTGGTTATTCAGGCTAGTAGACTATAAACTACAACTCCTTTTTATTATACAAATGTGTCTTTAAAAATGTCTTATCAAACAGATCTGAGATCAGGCATAGACACTGATTCATTGGCTCACAGAATCACACCCTAGCAGCAAACCACTGAAATTTTCAAACGTTTCGGTACAGTTATGGTGTAACAAAGCCTCGTTTACTGAAATCACGGCAGTTTGATACTCGCTCTGAATCAACAAATGATCCACAAAGGTTTCGAAGCTTCACAAAACGCCAATCACTAGCACACACATAACTGAATTAATGCTTCACTTTTTCTTCAAAACCATCTAAATGTTTATGCCTAAAAGCTACATTAAGACAAATATAAATTGCTCCCAGATAACATAAATTGCCTTAAAATAAATGAATTGCATTAAAATATATTATTACTTAACGTTTATGTTTACAAATTGAAAGACAACTGTGGCAGCTTTGATCTTGTATTCTTCACCAACTGAAAATGTCCAAAGCAAGAGTATTTAGCCATTTTTGTTATATTAGTGAGTTTCAGTGTTATTTTAGCATCATTATAATATTTTGAATTAGATTATTTTGAATGAGATATTTTTTGTTTTCTCTCGAATTGTAGTTAAAGTTATACTCATTTTGTTTTTGTTTTTTTATTTTTTTTTAAACATTCCTAGTTTTTGTTCATTGTTATTTATTATTCAAGTTAATGAAAAGTTGCATTGGCAACTAGCTAAATTATATATATATATATATATATATATATATCCTTTTTTTAACAAAAATGTTTTTTATGGTTTTGGTTAACTGTAATAACCCTGGTGAGTACAGAAACATACTTATACAATCAACCAGAAATACTATACCATCCAGGCACCACTGGCATACTGTTGTTCAAGTGCATTGAAATAGCAGGGATAGTAGGATGGATAATATGCAAACTGGGATGCAGCAACACAAACATTTAGCTGTCAAAACAGCATCTCCTTGTGGCAAAAAAAACTGTAGTGGCACTGAAAATAAATCCACGGTCTTACCTTCTCTTTGTGTTCCTGTTCCTAGGCATTTAGCTGTGTTCTGGAATTTGCCACACCATTGCTGACACTGTATCAGATGTCCCATGAGAGCAGTGCAGGGTTTGGAGAAAGAGAACGAAAACAGCAGGTCCTGTTGTTCTACAGAACCCTCAGCCAAATTCTGGAAAGTTCTCTAGAGTGCCGGAACCGTTACCGGCTCGTCCTGCTCAACGGTCAGAATTTCATTCAAATTAATGAAAGGCTTTTAAGTCTTGTCCCTGAAATGATCAAAGTGCAGTCTTTTAGAGTTTGAAATAGACTTTAAAATCATATCTGGATATAATTCCTACAGTGGTTCCTCTCAGTGTCCATAATGCTGATTTCATACAACTGTTTTTCAGATGAGCACACAGGTGACCCTCATTACCTCTCCAGAGAGATCATCCAGCACCTGAAACAGCAGGATGGAGAGATTTACATGGATCCCATCCAAGAGCCACCGAATGAAGTCCATCCTGTTCCAGAAGAGGGTCCGATTGGGAATATTAATGGTGCACTGCGTGCCAATTTCCCAGAAGACCCAGTGAGCAGCAACCCCACCCTCATGTTCAGCCAACCACAATCTTTAAGATCTGAACCAGTGGAGACCACTGATCATTTTAACCAACCTAATGCAAGGAGATGGGATTGAGTTCATGAGTTCTTTGAATTATTTAATAGAATTTGTTGTAATAATAAAAATCCATTAAATCAGCTGCTCATAACCACCCTTATTTTCTCTCTGTGTTATATTTTATTTTATTTCAGTTAATGCTTATTTCAAGCAATTATAATGTTTTTGGTTTTAATTTTAGTTAATGACAATAACCCTGCCTGAACACCTTACAATGACCTCAAAATTAATTTGGACACCTGTGCCACAAATAAATGTGCACATGTATTAAATGTAGCATCATTTATTTACACATTTTGATATTATATAGGGTTTTTTATGCAATCATCAGAGACACATACAGTATATCTTTGTTGAAAGATACTGCCTTACTAACACCTAAAAAACACATAAGACTTTTACATAAAGATGTTCTGAAAAGACTTCCTGTTGCTCTAACACGATTTTACAAGAAATAACATTTATTTTTGCCTATAAAAAGGTAACCTTAAAATGAATGTCTTCATATTTATATATTCCTGTGTAGGTTTTTTCCTTACTGAAGAACTACTAATAAATGTAGTAGTGTCAGGCTACTAATAACTTAATAAATGCTGTTGAAAAAATTCCTTGCTTCTTCCAGTGAAACAGCTCTCCTCTGGCTGACTGTGTTACTTTCCATGTCCTGCGGCAGAACAGTTACAATGAATGAGAGAAACTAGTTGAAACAAGTCATGATGATGGAGGTGATTCATAACACTGGAAATAATTTCAGATGAATCACTACACTACTTGTCCATGACTAACATGTTTTAATCTAACATTTATCCACAGATCAAATATCGTATCCAGTTGATATAGCTAACTTGAAATTATAATTTATAAAGTGCTTATTCTGAAGCTGTGCAATTTAGCTGAGCATAATTTTTTTATGAAGTAATAAACTAGTCCATCAGGTTTCTGCAGCTGGGCTGATGCAATTTGGCTGATGGATTGATAAATTGATTTATCTGACACTGATAAATGAAAACTAGCAGGTGTTAAGTTTATGAATGGTCCTTTTTACAGTGAATAATTATGTTTGAAAATCTATGTACAATTGCATGAACATTATATATATTATTATATTATATTAAAAATATTTGTAATCATCTAATCACCTTTTTAGTTGTTCAGTATAATATTTATTATTATACTTTTTTTTTACAATTTCTTTGTCCACAGCTTTTAATCACCTTATCACCTTGTTCTGTTATAACATTCATTCATTCATTTTTATTTATTTTACATGTAGTTTCTCAATTAATATCGGGTCATAAATATTCCTAAACTACTTTTATCTGTAGCAGACAATTCTGGGAATATTATAGCAACGTTTGAAACGCTTTGGACAAACAAAACAAAACAAAACAAAAACACTTAGTTACACACACTGTAACCCTGTAACTGAAACAAAATAAAACATTATTATGCTAATAATTTAGCAGTTAGAAAATAAATTAAATTTTTATTTTTTTGGACAGGAGGAATAAACTAAACATATTTCAAAACATACTGCTGAAAAAAGTCTTGTCTAAGGTTATATGAATGTATTTTCTTAACAGCTGATTCAGCGAAGACACACAACCATATTCTGCATGTCACTCCATGGTCAAAGGTTTCCAAATAGTTTACTCTTCCTTCCTTGTTCACCCACTCAGTATACGAGATCTGTGGTTAATTTATTTTTCCCTTATTTACATAATCTGTAACTTCTGGAAGGTGGTTCTACAGAAGTCTCTTCTAGTTCCTCATTATAATATCGAAAGATGGTTCTCCATTTCTGCATACTTGAGTGGGGCAATGTGACGTCACAGCGCGAGAACAAAGATGAGGTCACGAGGAAAAGTCCCTCATCGTGACTCAGAGACAGACAGACGGCAAACAGGCAGTAAAGACTGTAAAAGCACTTTCTAGATCAAACCTGCAGCAGATCAGACAGACTTAAGTCACAGATCTGTTTTCTTTGGCTTTATTATTTACTTCATTAGAATACAGTAAACGAGTGTAAATGTGTTTCCTGGGTCATCCGCATTTCATAGAGAAGGCTGCTGAACTGGATTTTACTGACCGCGTGTTTGTCTTTCTGGTCACGTGAGTCTCACCTGTGAATAATCACACCTCATCTCACACTGTCTGAATCACTTTCTAGAAATCACATGTTTAGTACAGCACATACTTGCCCATGAGCATTTATGCGCATGTGTGAGGTCAATTTGTATCACCTGTGAAAATAAACATATTTTAGTCTCTATCCTGTACACTAAATTTCTTCGTCTAATTGATCAATTATTAGGATAATAATTTTGTTTTGTTTCATGCTGTTTCAGTGTTTGTATAAACAAATGTTGCTATAATATTCCCATAATTGTCTGCTATAGATGAAAACAGTTTATATAAATATTTATGACGTCACATTATTGTTTCAGAAACTACATGTAAAACAAATAAATAATAAATAAATAAGCAAGGAAGCATTGCAGGATTAGTGAATTTGGGGGAAAAAAGGTAAAAGTTGATTAAAAATTGTGGATAAAGAAAGAGAAAAATAAAATAATAAAAAATTACACACAAAAAAAAATGATATCCCCATAATTGTCTGATACAGATGAAAGTAGATTAGTAATGTTTGTGATCTCATATTATTTGAGAAACTACATGTAAACAAACAAACAAATTAATAACTGAATGAAGGAATATTGCAGGACTACTTAAATGAATTTCAAAAAAAGCTAAAAGTTGATTAAAAATGGGAAAAAAGTAAATAAAATACAATAAACAAACAATAACATAAAATAAATAATAATAATGCTATAATATTCCCATAATTGTCTGCTACCAGTTAAAACAGTTTAGCCTTGTTTATGACCTAATATAAATATACATTTAAATAATAATATAATAAATAGGCCTATTGTAGGATTATTTTAGTGCATTTTTATAAAAAAAAGTTAATGATTAAAATAGTTGAAAGAGAAAAACATACAATACTAGAAAAATACTGCACGACTATATTTAAGTGAATAAAAAACAAACAAACAAAGCTTAAAGGTGATTAAAAAATGTGGAAAAAGAAATAGTGACCAGTCAGATAGTAAAATATAAAATTTTCATAATAGAAATATATAACATTTAGCTCTAATCCAAAAAGTTAATGTTCATGTTATTTGTCAACTAGGCCTGCTGTTTGTTTAATATAAGGTCTATATAGAATAGAATAGAATAGAAACGCAAGAAGCCGGTTCGGTTGCATGTACTTGCGCAGTCTGGTCTGATGTAAACTCTCTCGGGTTTGCGTCATGTCGCCCATCCCACAAACTTCAGCTGATGCAACATCACAGACAGCTCACTGAACTCAGTATAAAACCGGCTGCCGTGAGAGGAGCAACACATCTCAGCCTCTCGCATTCATGGACGGAACAAAGAAACAGTCAGTGGAAGAGTTTGGCGAGCTCTCGGGGAAAGACTCGGAGGAAATCACGTTAAAATGGTCTATACACAAGCTCTCGTGTTCGGGAACGGGTTGTCCGTCAGGAGCGAACAGGAAAAGCTAGCGGAGGACCTGAGCTTTCTACAGCACTTCAGATCCGACAGAGACAAACTCAAGCACTGCGGCAGACTCATGAAAGCACAGAGCTCATCAAGTAAGTATCTTATTCCTGTCTGTCCACACCATCAATTGTACGGGAAACCGGGGCAAGTTGTCACAGGCGCTCTGTCTCACTAACTATAAAGTCAAAAGTTTCGGGTTCGCATGTTGATTTTAAATAACCTAGTACACAAATGTTAATTTGGAATAATTTGTTTGTTTTTTTTCGGAGGAAATCACGTTAAAATGGTCTATACACAAGCTCTCGTGTTCGGGAACGGGTTGTCCGTCAGGAGCGAACAGGAAAAGCTAGCGGAGGACCTGAGCTTTCTACAGCACTTCAGATCAGACAGAGACAAACTCAAACACTGCGGCAGACTCATGAAAGCACAGAGCTCATCAAGTAAGTATCTTATTCCTGTCTGTCCAAACCATCAATTGTACGGGAAACCGGGGCAAGTTGTCACAGGCGCTCTGTCTCACTAACTATAAAGTCAAAAGTTTCGGTTTTGCATGTTGATTTTAAATAACCTAGTACACAAATGTTAATTTGGAATAATTTGTTTTTTTTTTTTAAACAGGATGTCATTAAAACAAAGGTCAACTAAAAAGTCCAATGAATGTTGATGTCGGGTTGTCACGTGTTTTGTTCCTATTTTATTAATTCATTTTTTATATATTTTGAAAATGACAGAATATTCCCATTCTGACAACTAACCAGCGTGACAACAAATTGTATTAAACCTTTCTTTTAATGTTCAAAAGCTTTTACATTAGACGTGATTAGATGACACTCATATGAGCAGGGATGTACATTGTTCCAGTTTTCCAAAATTGCAACATTAATTCTGGCCATGGTCCATGACAGCTTAGATCAGCTGATGGCACTGTATTACAGGCTGACGGTGTTAGTTTCTTGATCCTAATCTAATGAGCCATCGCTCACTCTCAAACTGCTGAGCCTGACACAATCTCTATTTACTCATTCACAGGTCTGGGATCCGAGTGCAGTTTGGAAGAGGAAGGAGAAGATGATGCGTGTCTTCAACTCGACCTATCCAAACGCATTGAGAAGTGCCTCTATGAGGCCAAAGGAGCCAGTCTGAGCTGTCGGGAGCTGCGTCTGCCCCTGCGCATGACCACACGTGTGGCCGGAGACATTCTGCGCTCATCCACGGATGAGCCGTGTGGGATACGAGGCGCACTGATCCACATGTTCATGGAAAGCAAGGGCACACTTCTGAAGCTGGGCACCATCATTCCCGATCAGAGTCTCACACCGACCTTCGAGGTCTCGGTGGTCCTGCAGCCTGATCTGGGCGGATGGCCTCCGCTGAAGATCCTGTTCGGAGGCGGGAAGGTCTTGAGCCTCAGACGGGAATATCGGCTGATCAAACAGAAACTCTACTCGTCCGCCACTCCTACTGTACTTGAGTTTTATTAAAAGTGTGGTATTAAGAGTAAAAAGGAGGAGAAAATAATGCCCGAGTACGTCTCAGAGGAAGAGGACAAGTTTAGGAAAAGTTCACTTTGCACATAATTTCTGTTACATAAGTGTATTTCAGAGTTTACTGAAAGGTGTTTAAAAATATAGATAATAACGTTCAGTTCAATGTCAGAAGTTGATATTGTGCAACTGACATTTCTAACACAGTATGAACAGCTATGTTGTTATAATACTGCATTATACAGTATATTGCTTAAAGGATCATTAACATACATACAAATAGTTAAAAACATAGAACCTGATGCATAAATACTATCATTCAAAAGTTTGGGGTCAGTAAGATTTAGCTTGATGCTTAAAATTACTGGTTTCCATTTTAATATATTTTAAAATGTATTTATTATTTTGATGGTGAAGCTGAATTTCCAGCAGCCATTACTCCAGTCGTCAACCTTCAGAAATCATACTAATATGATGATTTGCTGCTCAAGAAACGTTTATTAGTATTAGTATTAGTATTAATGTTGAAAACAGTTGTTGCTGAAAATTTTACTTAATATTATTAAAATTATTATACATTTTTTCAGGATTCTTCGATAATCAGTTCAAAAGAACAGCATTTATTTGAAATAGAAATCTTTACATTATAATGTTTACTGTCAGTTTTGATAAATTCAGTGAATTCTTGCTGAATAAAAGTATTCATTTCTTTCATTAAAAAATCTCACTGATCCAGAACTTATGAAGAGTAATTTATATTCATGTATAACCTGGGATTTTATATTGTTGTAAAAGCTCAAAGCATCACCAAATCTTGAGCTCTGAGACAAACACTATTATCAGGCGACACGGCACGTGTGATCAGATCATCTTTGGGTGTGTTGTGACTGCAGAATGTTCAGTTTTGATTCTTCACTATTGTTTACTGACGTTCAGGGATATAGGAGGGTTCATATTGTGTATGAATCACACTGCTGATGTACGTTGATGTCATTAATGGATATCGGTGTGTTTTCTCGTGACTTTGAACAGGACAAGCTGGTATTGTCCTCCCAGTGAAGCATTTGTACTAATAGTTTTTGTTTGAACGCACAAGTTGAATAAATTATTCTTAAAATAACACCGTGTAATTGCAGACTCTCATGTTTTATTAAAACATTTCACGACACAATATACAAAAACACTGTACACAAAGACCCTGTACAAAACTATGTTCTTTCGAAACGTACAGATGTCAAATTATTACGTCTCACTTAAAGAACGAAAACAAACTGAACATAGTACAGTAGGCCTTTAACTGTAATCCAAAGCATCCATGATCCTGACTGGGCAAAAATCAAGCTTAAAGAAACTTAGGATCCATCTTCATTCCTATAGAAGAAAAAAAGCGTACTTTTATTGCTCTTTCCTCGGTCGTTCAGCATTCCACATCCTCTCAAACTGATAAGGCGATAGTAATCTTTGTTTTGAACAATGGGTTGTAAGGTTTCATTCTCAGTTCTAGAAAATGACATCCTGATTTCTAACCATCCAGTGGTCATGACGGTGGTACATTCAGCTTTTTTAAAAGGCCAGTGATGACAGCTAAATTTGTGACATCAAGTCAAAAACTTTTAAACAACTCCTCTAAACTCAAACAAACACAAGGTCAGTTTGTCCTGTCCCATGAGTCTAGTCTCAGAGCACACTTGACCAGTTTTTCAGGTCTAGGACTGAAGGGTTTCTGTGAAAGTCCCTTCTTTTTGTGTCCTTCTGTAATTAGACTGTTGAATTGCTGTGTCAAACCACTGAGGCATTGAGTAACTAAACTTAGCCAGAACGTCTTAAAGAAACGGAAATAAAGCCAATTTGCACTTCCATAACAGCTGCAGTGAGACATCTCCGTTCACTTTTTCATCTTCATATCAGCCTCAATGGCACTGCGACGCCCTCTGGTGCCTCCATCCTGGAAGAGCAGAGAAGCAGGAGGCTGTGAGAAAATGCAAACAGCCTGTCATCCACTGCCCTAACACACCAGACCATCAGTGAGAGAAACTAACTAGCTTTGACCTGAGAACAGGAAGTGTGCATGTGTTATCACTAGAACGAGCCATTCATCTCAAAGAGACGGTGACATCAGAACTGTGCAATACATAGTTAAGAAATTGAAGAGTACAAGCTAGAAAATAAAAAAAAACCCAGTGAAAGAGCATTAAAAATGTGGTGTTCAGGAGTAAATGAGTTAATAGTTAAAGCTGCTCATGGAAGAGTTGTGTTAGATGATTCTTGGAGATAAATAAAAACCATTTAAAAGGTAAGTTCTGGAAGAGCAGAGAAGCAGGAGGCTGTGAGAAAATGCAAACAGCCTGTCATCCCCTGCCCTAACACACCAGACCATCAGTGAGAGAAACTAACTAGCTTTGACCTGAGAACAGGAAGTGTGCATGTGTTATCACTAGAACGAGCCATTCATCTTAAAGAGACGGTGACATCAGAACTGTGCAATACATAGTTAAGAAATTGAAGAGTACAAGCTAGAAAAGAAAAAAAAAAACAGTGAAAGAGCATTAAAAATGTGGTGTTCAGGAGTAAATGAGTTAATAGTTAAAGCTGCTCATGGAAGAGTTGTGTTAGATGATTCTTGGAGATAAATAAAAACCATTTAAAAGGTAAGTTCAAGCAAAAATAAAAAAGTAAAATGAAAAAAATATATATTTATACTACCACTCTAAAGTGTTTTTAAAAAACTATGCTCACCAAGACTGCATTTAATTGATAAAAAAGACAGTAAAAACAGTTATACTGAGAAGGATTCCATTTCAAATAACAGTTTTGTATTTGAATATATTGTAAAATGTATTTATTCCTGTGATGCAAAGCTGAATTTTCAGCATCATTACTCCAGTCTTCAGTGTCACATGATCCTTCAGAAATCATGCTAATATGCTGAAAAATATTGTTGTGGAAACTGATGCATTTAATTCAGGATTCTTTGATTAATAGAAAGTTCAAAAGAAAAACACTTATTTGAAAACAATCTTTTGTAACATTAAAATATCTTTAGTGTCACTTTTGAGCAATTTAATGCATCCTTGCTGAATAAAGGTTTTCGTTTGAAAAAAAAAAAAACTTAGTAGAGAATACATTAGGGTTAATAAATTGTCTCAATTTTTATTTCTTAAAGGGGTCATATGATGCTGCTAAAAATAACATTATTTTGTGTATTTGGTGTAATGAAATGTGTTTATGCTGTTTAAGGTTAAAAAAAAAACATTATTTTCCACATACTGTACATTATTGTTTCTCCTCTATGCCCCGCCTTTTTGAAACGCGTCGATTTTTACAAAGCTCATCGGTCTGAAAAAGCGAGGTGTGCTGTGATTGGCCAGCTATCCAGTGCGTTGTGATTGGCCGAATACCTCAAGCGTGAGACGGAAATGTTACACCCCTCACCATACTGTTGATGCCGTCTCCCGGAGCGACAAGACAAAAAACATGAAAACCCATTATAAACATGGCATTCGTTGCATCCAGTGGGGACATAACTAAGGATTATAATGTCTTATACTGTCTTTTTACGCGTTGCATCACGCCACGTAAACATAAAACCATGTCTGCATTTGTGATCCCTAGCGTGAGCCGCGGCTTAGCGTGAGCTGAGGCCGGGCCAGAGTGAGCAGAGGCGGCGGGGTTGAGAATGGCGCGGCCAGCGGATCCGACGAAGGAGCCGCGGCTTAGCGTGAGCTGAGGCCGGGCTAGAGTGAGCAGAGGCAGCGGGGTTGAGAACGGCGCGGCCGGCGGATCCGACGAAGGAGCGGCAACCACATGTGACGACCCCGGGCCGGACTCCGCTTCGTCCACGGTGAAAGCTGATCCGGCGATCCACAGCACTAAGTTGATGTATTCCCTCAGCGACCAGCACAGATCAGCTCTAGGCATGACGAAGCGGATATCGTCCTCTTTTGGAAGACCAAACAAAGTAGTTTCGCTGTCACAACGAAGCACACAGCGGGGTTCTCAACCCCGCTGCCTCTTCAGGACATGGCGGCAGCGTCAACAACAATACTACAGAGAGAATAAAAGTTACGCCTTCTTTCTTTGCGTGAACATTTGGGCGGCGTTATGCAAATCTTCCCACATAGTGAGGTAGATATGTGGGGGCGTGTTAGAACGAGCCGTTTTAGGTAGGCTGGTTAACTCTTAACTTTAATAAAGAATATCTCTTTGGATTTGAGACTTTAGTCTTTGCAACTTTACAGATCTTCTTTATGCACCAAGAGCTTGTAACACTCCAAAGAGAAAGGAAAAATTGAAATCGAATCATATGACCCCTTTAATGGATTATTCTGCTAAACATATCATGAAGCTCACAACCTTTTAGCATACAAACCTGGATATGTTCATAACAACATGGACCAAATTCAATCCTGGTGCAAGCGATCAGCTCTAACCAAACAGAGAACTGTGTCACAGAATACATGTGTATGTTTGTGTTCGGTAAGGGGGGACAGGAAATAACTTGTGATCTTCAACCTGGATACTTACAAAGAGAGAGAGAAGGAAAGCAGGAGAGGCCATGGATAGGCTGTCCTGTAGAAGGACAAACAGCACAGTGAGAAAAAGAGAGTTCACTATTTAAAACCTATTCTAGAAATAGCCAGAGAGACAGACATGTACAACAGAGCAAAAGCAGGTGTTATGGGAGCAAACGCCAGGTATACTAATCTAAAACCCTGAGCATAAGATGGAAAGCATCAGAGACATGTGCAGAGACTAGAATGACCAGATGTTTTATGAGCCATATCGCTTTGTATATCATCCTGATGGACTTACATTCACTTGTCCCATTAATTAGTCTTAACTTTAGTTTGGTTGCTATAAATAAACATTTTATACAGACAATGCAGTGATTTGATGTAGCCTTTAAAGGGTTAGTTCACCCAAAAATGAAAATTCTGTCATTAATTACTCACCCTCATGTCGTTTCAAACCCGTAAGACCTTCGTTCATCTTCGGAACACAAATTAAGATATTTTTGATGGAATCTGAGAGCTGTCTGACCCTGCATAGACAGCAACGCAACTGAAATGTTCCCAAGTCCAGAAACGTAGCAAGGAGATCTGTAAAATAATCCATGTGACATCAGGGGTTCAACCGTAATTTTACGAAGCTACGAGAATACTTTTTGTGCACAAAAGAAAAAAAAAAAAAAAAAACTTTATTCAACAATTCGTCTCCTCCGCATCACCCTGTAGCGCCATTTTGGAGAATATCAGCTGGACGTAAACAGCGTATGTAATCACAACAACAAACAGATCTGGCGTGACATTGAGTAATTAATGACAGAATTTTCATTTTTGGGTGAACTATCCCTTTAATGACAAGAGTGGATGGGATATCTGTTGTGTTCCCTTTAAAATATGAAGATATAAGATGCAAACATCTGTCATGCATGTGCAAAATGATTGACAAAAGCTTTTAAGTAGAAACAGATGCTCTTATTTTATTGTTCTGACAATAAAATCTGAAAGAAGTGAATTTAATATACTTTTAATAACAAACCTACTCATGATATTAATTATTCATTTTCATTTACACATTTAGCAGACTCACTCTTTTTAATCTGGCTAACAATTTACATTGCCAGTCATCTTAAAAACATCTTACGATGACTTCAGGTCAACAAAACATTTGCTTTCCATTGGACTTTGTTTCCAGGTGGTTGTGAATTCAAACAAAAACATGAACTTTTACAGCGGGATGGATTTGAACTCAGGTCTCCCGCATATAAAACATGTTGGAGGATGGAGCAGTTTTCTATCATGGTCATCTGGTCACCCTAGAAAGCTTCTCTGCATGTAGACACACGGCTGAGAAAGAAAAGGAGGATGGAATCAAGATGGAAAACGGAGAATCCTAAGAATGTAGATACTAAAGGGAGGATTTGAGGGGTTGATGAGTAACAGAGAGAGATGTGTATATATGTGTTAGCCGGATGAAGATTAAGGTGTTCATGTATGTGTGAGTGTGTTGTAACCGTTTCCATGACAACCGCAGCACTCCAACATAAACTCAAATAGATGGTGATGAAATGAGTGTCCAGTCATTTGAATGATCTCAGTCACACAGCAAAGAGCTCAGTGTGAATGCATCACTGAGACTGAAACCATGCAAACAAAATAATAAATTAAAAAAACTTGCTTAACTTTGGTCTGGTGTGTGTTAAAAAATAAAAATGGCACACAGATTCAACAAAAGAAGACATCAAGAGGCTATTTAACCCAACACTTACACCACATACACAAATACATTGTTTACATGTTTACAATAATCACATTTCTATCCTGTCTATAATAAGGTGATATACACTACTGTTCAAATGTTTGGGGCCAGTAAGATTTTTTTCTAAGAAATTAATATTTTTATTTAGCAAAAGTAATGACATCTATAATGCTGCAACAGATTTCTATTTAAAATTAATGCTGTTTGAACTTTCTGTTCATCAAATAATCCTGAAAAAAAAAATCCTAAAACATCACCGTTTCCAGAAAAAGTATTAAGCAAATGTTTTCAACATTGATAATAATAAAAAGTGTTTCTTGAGCACCAAATCAGCATATTAGAATGATTTCTGAAGGATCATGTGACACTGAAGACTGGAGTAATGATGCTGAAAATTAAGCTTTGCATCACAGGAATAAAATACATTTTACAATATATTAAAATGAAAAACAGCTATTTCAAATTATAATACTATTTCACGATTTTAAAATATTTTTCTAGCATTTTTGATAAAATAAATGCAGCCTTCGTGAGCATAAGAAATGTGTTTCAAAAACATAAAAAAAAACAAACAACTTACTGACCCTAAACTTTTGAACGGTATTTTGCATGTATCTATCTATCTATCTATCTATATGTATATATATATATATATATATATACACACACACACACACACACACACACACACACTTAGAAAGCAGACAGACAGATAGATGGATAAACAGATATTCCGCCACATTTCTGAAAATGTTACATCATTCTGCGTATAACCACACTTGTGATACAATCATTTACAGAACAACTAAGCCACAAATATGGTGCCATGTGGAAACCTGGAAGAGAAACTCGAGTGTTAGACTCACGGTGTTTGTGCATGGGTTAGTACAGAAGTCATCTCACCTGCAGTGCCCTTGATTCTCACCTGCGAGTGCATGTTTGTGTGTGTACAGCACTGACCTTCTCATAAGTGTCTTGTTTGGAGTTGTTCCTTTTCCATCTGGCTGGTGGTTCTGGCTCTAAATGAGGGTCTTTGTGTGCAGGACTCAGGGTCTACATACGAGACTGTGTGTTAGTGCAAGTAACGCTAACCTTACTGTCAGGGACTTCAGCAGTTCACTCGTGTGTGTGTAAGGGACATAAAGTCTTTTATTTGGGTCCTATCAAGAAGGGGTTTCATGTGGAGCGTGTGGAAACCAAATCGCTTCTGGATCAATCTTACGAAAACATGACCAGCCCCATTTCTGCCCAAAACAAAAAAAGGTACAGTGCATTCTGAAAGAATCAATAACTTGCAATTCTTGTGTGTAGCACCTTTAAAAAGTTTTTTTTTTCACATCCATCCACACTCCATAGTCCATAAAGATGCCTTTTTGAAATGCATTTTATTTCAGATGCATGCGATATTTCATTTTTTTTTTCGTTTTAATAAATGTGCTAAGACAAGTCTGTTACAAGTCTGTTTTTAACTTTGTCATTATTGGGTATGGATTGTAGATTGCTGTGAAATGATTTGCATTTTAGCATAAGGCTGCCACATAATAATATGTGAAAAAAATGAAGGGGTCTGAATACTTTCTAAATGCACTGTATTTTATATTTGCCATAAAGAAACAGAACCATTTTCATGACAATTAAACATCTGGTTCTTATTTCGTGCTTCTCATTTTGGGGTGATATATGAAATATGAAGTTTTTGACAGGTTTTGTGAAATTCACCATACAAGGTTTGCATTTCTGAGTTTGTACAGAAAGTATTTGGACAGTGAAACTTTTTCCTGCATTTCAGCATTTTTGGATTTTAAATAAAACTTAGCTCAGGGACTGAGTGCTGAAACGACACTGATTGCAGCCATCCCATTAAGAGCTAGAAAATCAATTTGTGCAGATTACCTGTGAGTATTACAACAACGTCATGGGCAGCTCGTGGTCGCAAATCCATTTTGTGTGTATTGACAGCCATTAAGTCTGCAGGCTAAAGACATTACGAGTTATATTTCCTGATGATGCATCAGTTTGTGCTTTCCCATTCAATCTCAGATGGACTGAAATCAGGTCAGTTTGCAGGTACTGGCTGTTTGGTGCCATTGCAAGCCGATAGTTTGAGGCAAATGGTTTTAAAACTATGTTTTCAGGACACTTTTGAATTAATGCTGCTTCAACAGAGACAGAATTAAGAGCCAATCCCACAGCGTTTTCCTCACAGATAAAGCTCCATGCTGTGGTGCACAGGAAGCTGTTTTTCTACTTTCCTTTCTATGACTCCGAGCTCGCTCTTCCTAAACCGTTTCACTGTCCACAACACTTCACTTCAGATGTCTACAGACTCTTTGATGTACTTTGATGTCCCGTCCTTGAGACATTTGAAGCTTCTAGCCTGCTCTCTGAAAAACATCTCAGCCTATATCCTGGAAAAGGATCAAGTATCTTGATTTGTTCTAGAGATGCTATTTTTATTCATAAATGCACATGCTGTTCACTCAACAATCCAGTGTTGTTATTGCCAACTAAAACTGAAATTATTAAAAATAATTTTAGAGAATTTAAATAAAGATGTAATAAAATATAAATATTAGATTACAAAATATACATTTAAATATATTATTTAAAAAAAAATTAAAACTACTAAAAATGGCTAAAACTAATGAAAAATATATATGAAATATAATAAAATATTAAATATTAATAACTATAGCAGTATATAATGTTAAAATAACTGTCTTAAATATATTTTAATGTGTTCCTGCTTCTTTAAGCTCTCTTTTGTCTCACTGAAGGATCTGCTCTAATACATCAATATAAGTTTGTCTATTAAATGTCACTGGCCAAATAATTAGCAGCGAAAGCGTTGTGATTATGTCTCCTTATAGTGCTCACTGTGTGTGTGTGTCTGTGTGTGTGATGATATTCCTCCAACCTTCTCCACAGCGTCGTTTCCACTTGTGGTTTGTGTGTTTGTGACTATGCATGTGTGTCCCTAACCTTCTCATTGGGGTCTTGTTTGCGGTTGGCCTCCCTTCCGCGCAGGCTCTTGGTGCTGATGCCTGATTCTGATGTTTGCATGATCAGCTGAGTGGCCAAGAACTGCTGGATCTGTTCCAGAACGTCCCTCTGCATCTCCAGGGCCATGTGGTAGACGTCATGATCCGAGCTGTTATACATCACCGCGTTCTGGAACATCAGCATGATGTCACGCTGGAACTCCGCCGTCGTGCGGATCTGCCCAGACTCGATGTTCTTTTTGATGGCTGATAGGTCCATCGGTCTGAGGAGGTGGAGATTTCAGAGATGACATCTTGGATGGTCTTAGGGTGAATACATTTTCTGCAAATTTTCATTTTCAGGTGAACTATTCCCTTAATAATTTATTAGTAAATAAACATTAAGATCAATAAATGCTAACTAATGTTTAGGGCCCTATGAAATCCATTTTATTTTTCCCAAATTCTCAAATTTTTTGTTTAAATTTTTTTGGATTACATTGCTTTCTGTTTTAATTTTTCATTAAATTAAGTATTAGTAATTTTAGTAATTAAAAAGCATGTCTATTCCCTTGAAATCATGAAACTTATACTATGTAACAACAATCTATTAAAATTTTAACCAAAATGACATTTTTAGGGCCCTATAAAATGTTTTATTTTTCACAAATTCCAAGGTTTCTGTTTAAATTTTTCCAGATTTCATTTTAATAATTTAAATACATGTTAATAAACAAAAAGTATGCCAAATTAATTTCATTCATGAAACTTTAAAATTTTAATTATTTATTACAATTTGTAGAATAATAGGGCCCTATGAACCGTTTTATTAATTTCAGAAATTCTGTGTTGTCTCTTAATTTTTCTGGATTTATGATTTAATACGACTTTTATTATATTATTAATATTCACAGATACTTGTCCATATCTTGATTTGGTTAATTGTACTCATATACTTTTGATTTATTCACCCAAAATTTATAATTCGGTGTTATACAGTAAATTCCATTTTTATGACTGGATTCTATGATTATGTTCACATTTTCTGCATCACAGAAATCACAGGGCCCTACATACTTAAAAGAATAAGAGGGTCTCATCTTGATACCTGTGTACGATGCTGTGATAACCAGGGGCGATGTCATCAGACACAGGTTGCAGAAACACACTTGCATACCTGAAACACAAAACAATAAATGACAAACATATACAACACATTTCTGTCTGCAGATCGGTGCTCATTACACAACAGCAGCTGAGGTAAGTATGAATGAGAAGCTCACCTGTGATTGGCTGCTGCCCGCCACACCAGCATGATGGCTTTCTTCCAGATCTTCTGAGCCTGCAAGGCCTCTTGATCTTCACTACACATGGAGCTGAGAGAGAGAGTTGTTAAAGGCAGACGAAAGATTAAAACACACATAATACACGCTAACACACAAACATACACAGAGGCACTCACAACTGTCTAATTTGCTGTAAAGTTGCTTTGCAACGATTTGTATCGTGAAAATCGCTATACAAATAAACTTGAATTGAATTTAACTGAATAGAGTTACTAATTCATCCTTCAATTCAATCTGTGAGAGAAATGCAGGGGGTTTGTGAAAAGTGTAAAATTAAAATAATTTTAAAATAAAAAACCCACTTTATTTGCTTACCTGTATGTCATGTAACCATTAACCAACATCAGAGAACCAAGAACATTTGAATTTATTGTTAAATTACTAAAATCTTAGAGGTATTTCAAAAATATTTCTGGGTTAAATGGGTTAAAAGTGTAGTTTACCCAAAACTGAAAATTCTGTTATAATGTCTTCATCCTAATTATTTGACTCTTGATCTTCTACAGAAAAAAAGTAGATTTTTGCAGAATGTCTCATTTATTTTGTTACTGAATCATTTTCTTCCCATTCGACTCAAATCTCATTTGCATTCACAGCCATTTAAATATAGCATGTCAAGACACTTCAGACCAGGTTTGATGCCCAAATCTGTGGCAATGTGTCTTGTCATACCATATTTGAATGCAAATAAGATTCAGGATTTCAGTCAAAGGTATCATTTTTAGTAAATAACTTACATTTTGGTCTTCACTCATTTAAGCTATCTTATGACTTCATAATACTTGTGCATGTGTCTTATAGACTTTACAAACTTTTATTGTGCTTTTTGTCATTTTTTGAGGTCATCTGTCTTTGCTCATTCACTTTCTAGAAAAAGACGTTTCCTTTTAACATTTTATGCTTTTATCTGACGATATAATCATAAGTGATTTATAGTGGACTAAGCTAAAAAACTTTTTTTCCCCAAAAATATGATATGAAAACATGTTAACATTGTGAAATATTATTACAATTTAAAATGACTATTAGCTGATACCTTTGTGTCTTTCGCCGAGGCTGAGCTATCCTCGGAGTCCAGACAGGGCATCACGGTCTCTGGCTGAACCCAGTCTTCCCCCTCACACTTCACGGCCGGACTCGGGGTTCTGTTCTCCTGCTGCGTTTCCTCCATCCCTCCTTCTCCCTCTCCTTGCCTCTCGCCCTCCGTCTTAACCTCAGAGTCCTGGCTCTGCTCTGTGTCAGGGGCGGCAGGCACCACAGTGTCCCCTGTCACTACGTCAACCGCTTCGGTTTCTGTAGCCTCCTCTACCAGAACCTCCATTTCTCCCTGCACACCCGCGGGGTCAGGGCAGCTCTGTGTGACCGCTGGGGCAGGACTCTGCTGGACGATGGGCTCTGGTTCAGCTGCCTTAAAGGTCTGTGACTCCCAAGGGCTGGTGATGGGGTGGCCCCCGACCGCTGGGTCCTCACAGAGAGAGAGAGCCGCCTCCACCGCGGCTGCGTCCAAAGCCTCCACGGGATCATCCACCTGAGACAGAAGTATTTGTATACTTCATTTCAGATTTGGCAACAGAAAGGAAAAGCTTTTGAACTATTTTCTGTTTTAAGAGTTTATTAAAAAAACGGAGGGAATCATGAAAGCGCTTGGTGGGTCAGAGAGTCAAATGGAACCCACTGACGTCCATGGTATTTTTTTTCCATACTAAAGAAGTAAATGGCTACCGTCAACTGTTTAATTAGCAACATTCTTCAGAATATCTTCTTTTGTGCTCAACAGAAGAAAGAAACTCGTACAGGTTTGGAACAACTTGAGGGTAAGTAAATGAGGACAGAATTTTCCTTTTTGGGTGAACTATCCCTTTAACACTACATGAAGTAGCAACCAATCGCATCATCACAACTGTCCACAGGTGGTTGTATGCGTGTCTGTGTGTGTATACCTTCTCCTCTATGATTGCAATGATGTCTCCCACTGTCTCCAAGTCCAGTTCGTGTGCCATGTATGACACCGACACCACTGTGTCCTCCTCCACCAGCTCTGCCTCTTTCCCCTCCACCTCCGCCGGCGTGGACGACCCTGCCATTACTGCTTCTGCTCCAGAACCTTCAGCAACGGCTGCAGCTCCTACACACAACAAGAAACACATCACTTAGAGTACTCTTACTATGGTTCATCTCTTTCATAAGTGCTCTGAAGAAGTGATGACTCTTTTTAAGAGAAAATAACACAATGTTTTTAAAGGGATGGTAAACACAAAAATGAAAGTTCTGTCAACGTTTACTCACCCTTACCCTTGATCCAAACCAGTATAAGTTTCTTTCTTCCGTCGAACACAAAAGAAGATATTTTGAAGAATGTTGGTAACCAAACAGTTTACGGTAAGCCACTGACTTCCACAGTATTGAAAAAAAAAAACTATGGAGGTGAATGTCCACCTGTAGCCATTGATTTGCATAGTATGTAAAAAAATAGTATGGAAGTCAATGGCTACTGTTAACTGTTTGTTACCAACATTCCACAAAATATTTCTTTTGAATTCAATAGAAGAAAATAACTTTGGAAAAACTGGAGGGAGTAAATGATGACAGAACTTTCATTTTTTGGTGAACCCTTTAAAGGCTGAATTTGGCCTTTGTGGTCAGTGCCATTTCTTTGAAAGAAATTATTACTTTTATTTAGCAAAGATGCATTACATTGATCAAAATTGACAAATACATTTATAATGTAACAAAATATTTCTATTTCAAATGAATGCTGTTTATTTTTTTATTTTTTTTTACATTTTATTTATCAAAGAATCCTGAAAAAAAGAAGAAAAAATAATATATAACTTTAATATGAACATTGATAATAAGAAATAAGAGCAGCAAATCAGAATATTAGAATGATTTCTGAAGGATCATGCGACACTGAAGACTGGAGTAATGATTAGGCCTGTCACGATAACAACTTTTTGTTGTGCGATATATTGCCCCAGAAATAATTGCGATAAGCGATATTATTGTCATTCTAAAGACCATTTTATGCCACTGAATATATAATCATAATGTAACAGCATAATGAAACCTTTTTTTGTAGAAGCATCTTTACGTTATGTACGAGAAGCTGCAAAAGACACAGGCGCAAGTGGAATGTACAAAACATGGTGACATTAATTTTTAAGTAAATATAATGGGCGATATATTGCGTCACCAAAAATTATTGAGGTCATGTACATATATTGCGCGATAAGTTGATATATTGATTATTGCGACAGGCCTAGTAATGATGCTGAAAATTCAGCTTTGCATCAAAGGAATAAATTACATTTAAAATTACAATAACATGGAAAACAGTTTTGTGTTGTGATGAAGTTTCACAGCATTACTTTTTCTTCCTGTATTTTGATTAAATAAATGCAGCATTGGTGAGCATAAGAGACTTCTTTCATAACATTAAAAAAAATCTTGCTGACCACAAACTTTGTTTGTATTAACTGTTATTCTAAAATATAATCCAAGAACTCTAGCGCTGTCAGTGCAGTCTGAGTGATTTGTGATTGGATGAAGATGATGGGATGAACTACACATCACATGACACAAACAGACTGGCTGAGCAAAAACAAACTGACCGTTAAGGGCTGTCAATTTTTTTTTCGAATTTCGAGTATTCATTCAATTTAAAATAAAAATCCACATTTGAATGCAAAAACGTTGCAGCCTTATCAGTGGCGCACGAGATGCGATGACTATGTAAGTGTAGTTGCATTATAATGTTTTTGTTAGCTTATCCAGTTGAAGCCACTAGATGCAGCGCTGCTACGTTGTTCATTAAAAATATTGCGGAAAAAGAGAACATCAATGCGGAGAAGATCTTGTTTACGTCAAAACTGAAACCAAGTCGTTTACACAGAACGCATATTTCGCGCATTTTCTAGAAGGACATCTATCAGCGTTGCACTTGAGTCTCGCAGAAACGAGCCGCATGTTTAGAAAGCCATGTAAAATTAATGCAAGTTTAACTTAGAAAAAAACATATAATCGAGACTTTATGGCAGGTTTTTCCCCCATACCACTGCATCTCATGTTTTTAAATGAAAAACTTACTGTGTGATTGGCTTTCTGCCCTTTGTATTAAACTATGCATACATACATGATGCTGTTTTGTTTATAGTTGTTTAAGCAACTTAATTAATTATATATGGTTTATAAACATTATTTTAAACATTATGCACTTTTTTCACAGATAGTCATGTTATCTTACTGAATAAACGTGCATTAGTAATATTTTGATCGATGCGCCCTCTTGTGGCCTCAGGAGAGAAGCCAAAAGCTTTTCTTCACCCTAACTGAAATTATGCATTTTAAATTCAAATATAATTCGAATTTTGATAATATTTAAGTACAAAATTCGAATTTAGTTTTTCAGACATTTTGACAGCCCTACTGACCGTTCTACAGAGAGTGCTGAAGGGAGGAAAACATAAGAGATCAGAGACCTGTTTTGGGCACAGAGAGGTGGTCCAGGGTTGGGGGGACCACTGTGGGGGGCTTAGGGGGATCAGCACTGACAGGTTGCTGCACTGGGGTGGCACTCTCCAACAGACGAGATAACGTAGGAGCATCTGACACAGAGAGACACACATATAGCGCTACAAACACACACACTAAAGCACACAGCTACTCTCACAATAATCAAACTACACAGTAATAATGTAATACAGAGAGCAGGAAATCTAAAAGTTGCATGCAGGACGCATGGTAAAAATGCAAAAGAATAGCCAAACCAAAGCAAACAGCATAACTCAAAATTCAGTTTGTTCAATGACACAGAAAATGTTTAACGTTGAAGAGAAGACATTCAAAGCACACATTTAAAACAAACAGAAAGAAGAGTGTCTGTGTTTACCGGCTGTAATGTCTTGAATAGCAGGCAGAGCGGTTGCAGCAGTGTGAAGCTCAATTCCATGAGATCCATTACTCAAACCTGTGGCCACGTCCCCTTCAACCACCTGCCCGGTACATACACACCCAGAACAATTTTATCTCCACTTTCTTTTAATGATAGTTAAGGTTTCTTGCACCAAAAACAATCATAGGTTCATTTCTAATCTACACTGGGTTATTACCGTTAACTAAAACGAACACTATTTGTAAAACATTTTTGTTAATTGAAATTAAGCTGAAATAAAACAAAAAAATACATATTAAATGAAAAACCTTACATGAAAAATCAAAATCTTGCCTAATTAATATGAGAAAAATACTAATAAAACAACTAATAAATATGAGAAAAGAGCATAAGAACATTACTACAAAATTAAAATGAAAACATAAAATACAAAAATATATTAATATAAAAATATGAAAATCTATAAAAGTACATACATAATACTAAAACATCACTATAAGACCTGCTTTCTGCCTCATATTGGTAAACAAGCGGTTTTGTCACAGCACCTCTAAAAATGCTGTTCACATAAACGCAGGGCAAAGGAATCACACAAAATACTGTCTAGTGAATGTTTACATAGAAAAACAATTGAAAAGCAGCATAGCACAATGTAAAAAAAGAGGTGTAAATAGCCCCTAAAACTTTTAATATATTTTGATTGGTTAACATTTTTGCACGTGAAATGAGTACTAAAATCTTGGCCCTTGTTAAAATGCTGAATACTCAATGCAAATCTTTGTTGTTAAATGTTAATGTGCTAATCTTTGTGATGTCAATATCATAATTTCTGATTGTCCATATTTGCAGTTTAATTAGTATAAATGGGCTGGCCTGAAGAGGGAGCTTTACATTGTGAATGTTAGAGTATGTTGACTACCATGAAATCTTTCTGGGTTCTGCTGACTTTATTTATAGGACAATATAAAGTAGACATGAATGTAGGGTTGAGAAATGGAAAATGGGTCTGGGACATTACACAGGCAAAATCCTGTTTGCTGTAACATGCCCTTAAAGCCAAAGGCTTAAACTTTGAATACTTTAAAGTATCCCCCACTCACCAGTCTAGAGCTGGCAGCGATGAGACTGCCCTTCTTCAGCAGTTCAGACAGCAGCGGGGAGGGAGGTGGTGTGGCTTTCGGGGCAAGGTGCTTCTTCTGCGGAGAGTCATCTACCAGAGGGCCCAGACCTGATTCTTTAGGCCCTGGACCCGTGACCTCTGACACAGGCATGAAGACGGTCAATCCTTGAGCCTACACGCAGAAATCATGAGTTTTACCTCTTAGAGTCGGCTTTAAGTTAGAGACCTACACTCCGGTTGGGAGTACCGCGGGACACAGCGCAACAGGGTGCGACACGGGACAACTCTTGATGGGCGAGTGCAGGTGCGGGCGAGAAGAGATTGTGTGTGTGCGGGATGCGGGAGAATAAAATGATTCAAGGGACTCCCACAAAATAGAAATATCTAAACATAAAATGTCTAAAATCATAAATTGTTATTTATCTGTTGCACAAAAGCAAAAAGAACTATTAACATTAAAATTATTAACATGCACAAGCTAGGCAGAGTTTCTATTTATAACACGTGTTTAAAGCGTTGCGCAATGTAGTCAATCACAGACATAGCTGTTGATTTCTGGAACGCAATGGCCAATCAGAGGTGATTAAGTTAGTTAGAATCCACTCACAGCAGTGCTGAAATTGCGTGCTCACGAATCCTCCCATTTTAACACACTAAGTGTAGACATTGTGAAAGATTCATTGCGCATATATTCATTGTGTTATAACAGAGCTTTATGAGATCGCGATGAACTGAGATGTCAGCTTTTAGTGATAATCAAGGGAGCGCTGTTTGCTGGCATTCTGACATGCCAAACCATGCACGCAGCAGCAGATGCCTGCTTTTCTGTTAAAAATAAGTGGTTTGTGAATGTTGATATTTAGCATAAATGACAAATATTTTATTGGAATTGTTTATGCTGGGATGTTATGGAGCTTAGAAGATGTTACAGAACCATTTCATGTAAATTTCTTCGATGTACTGAAAAAAATCTATAGATTACTTTTATGCGGGCTTTTGCGGGCAGGAGCGGGACAAAACATGAATGTCGCGGGCGGGAGCGGGACAAGATAACATATATTTCTGTGGGAGCGGGCAGGCGCGGGACAGAATCTTGCGGCTGCGGAACTGAAAAATCCATCCCGCGCAGGGTCTCTACTTTAAGTTTAAATGGTAATAAAAAAGAGGCAGGAATTCACCGTGGGATTGGCACAGGATTCGTCCGTCATTGGCTGCAATGTGTCTGGCTGCGAGACGTCCATGCAGGCAGAACTAGCAATGGGTGGAGAACGTACAGTCACGCTGGGAACTCTCTTTGGTGTGTTTTTAGCTGCCTGGCGAACTGGAAAGAAAGAGAAAAAAAATCATCATTATGCAAAATAAACATTTCACTGCCAGAAATAAGTACTGCCAAAGTAATAAAAACAGAAATGTCCTAGTATTTAAAATGTAATATATTTGCAATAAGATGCATGTTAAACTAATATTAAAATTTGCAAGTACATCAGCAATATGTTACACTGTTAAGTTAATATAATTTTAAAAAATTGTTTCTTTTGTGGAGGCATTAACTTTTGAAAGTGCTGAGTGAATGTAAATCTCACCCTGATATGCTGCCTCAGTCGCCTTCTTCTTCTGCTCAGCCTCCTCTTCTTCCTGCTTCCTCTTTCTGACAAGCATGAGAACACACACAATCTTATAATGACACATACACAATGGCAGGTTTTTTACAGAATTTTTATGTTTGATATATGTTTGGAAGATTATGAGTAATAAAATGTTTTGTCTGTGTTCAGGTTTGACTAATCATAATGCAAAAACTGACAACTTTAATTTTTTTTTTAATTAACACTAAAAAAAAGTTAACAGTCGTCAGTAATAGTCACTGATATCTAAATATATATCCAAATGCAACAACTAATAAAAGTAATTATGTCTGAAAACACACACACACACACACACACATATATACGACATATATATAAGGAATATAATAATAATTCATAAAAATATTTTTATACGATTACCGCCATTTCTCAGAGGGTTTAACCTAATGTGAAATAATGCTTGTTAAGTGAAATCACTACAAGAGTGGTTAAAACTACATTATATTGGGAGACATGTCAGAAAAAGAAAGGCCAATAACATGACAGAAAAACAGTAGAGAATTGTCTTACAGCTCTATATCTGCCCACAGCTCCTCCAGTTTAGGGTCCATATGACCTGCCTGGATCAAATCCACCTCTTTCTTCAGTTTCCTGAAGGGAAAGAACACATTTATCACATATGTGTGACAGATACAGACAGGGAGAGGGAGAAGTAGGTGGAGATGTACCTGTATTTATCCTGTGTGTCTTTGATCAGCCTCTTGAGTTCCTCAATCCTCTCTGACGTCAATCTACGCACAATCACGTCCTCAATGGTCTCGACCACCTCCCCTTTCTCACCCCGTTTACGTCTGCAGGGAGTGCACATGTCAAACTTACCAGTGAACTTGTGAACATACACTGAGATGGTTTAGGTTGCCATGATAACAATACTACTACAACATGCTAACTGGCTAAGATAATAGCCAGAATCTAATTACACAAACACTGTGCAAAAATCATAAAATGCTTTTTTCACATATTTACTGCTTTACATGCACAAATATAAATTACAACTTCTATGCTGATTATTATTTTTCATTGTCTACTCAGACCAGATTATTTGAGGATCGTAAAATTTTTCTCTTTCAGGTTTTGCAAGAACAACGGCAATATTTAATAAAGATGCTCAGCACAAATGTTTTAAGAACAAGAGAGAGAGAATTACTTACTTTGGGGCCTCTGTGGTTTCCAGCAGCTCAGAATATTGGGAGGCACAATGCTGCAGAGGTCATATTGACATGTTAAAACAAAAATCTCTAAGCAAATCACTAATACTAATAAAATCACTCACAGTCACTCATTTAAATTACCTTCTGGGAGAACCAGTCTGGGGGTCGTCCAGGTTCTGAGAATGGCTTGATGGCTCTGCTTACAGACACCCTGACAAAAAATATAACAGTGTATCATACACATTTAACAGTAACCCTTTATAAATAATTACATACACTGAAGAGTAACACATTGAATTTAATGTAAAATTTTTAAAGGGGTCATATGATGCTATTTTAAAGATCATTATTTTGTGTATTTGGTGTAACAGAATATGTGGACATGCTTTAATGTTCAAAAACATTATTTTTCAAATACTGTACATTATTGTAGGTCCTCTATGCCCCGCCTCTCTCAAACAAGTCGTTTTCAACAAAGCCCCCTCCTTCCGACAAGCGCAGTCTGCTCTGATTGGCCAGCTGACCCAGTGCATTGTGATTGGCCGAACACCACAAGCACGCGTCGGAAATGTAACGCCCCTTACCATAACCGCGAGCTTCAAGCTTTCAAAGTAAATATCAAGACAGTTAATAATGTCGTTAGTTTTACCATCAGTTAAAGCCCGAAAGGGCAACAGAGTCGCATGACAGACACAGTGATGAAGCTGGTATGTGTTTGCAGTACACAAGCCACGGTTAAGACAGCTGAAATCTGTCTTTCGCACTGACATGGCTGCATCAACACTACTGCTGTTCCTGGA